AGCCACGACAAATTTCGCGGCTAAATGCGGACGTCCCGGGTTCCCGTTGGCCGCGTCCTACGCGGGCCGCAACCGGCCGTTTCGGTGGCTGGTGCCACTCGAAATGATCGACTACGACGTCCACCTGCCCATAATGACCGATGGACTTCGCGAGCCTTCAAAGCCCGTACGGCGCGTGCGCGGCGCAAGGCCTGTGGGACCTGTTGACCCGGGACACCACCAGCCGTCGCGTGCTGAACGCGTTACCCAGAATGGTATTCCCGCTCCGGCGGGCCCTGAACGCCGCCGCCTCCGATCACTGGCGCGTCGGCGTTCGCGCGCTGAAGACGTTACAAAAACTGGCTTCAGCCGGCAAGGACGGCCGCGTGGGTTACGCCTTGGTCCCGTACTATCGGCTCCCGTTGCCGCCACTCGACCGTTACGGCCGGCTCACCGACGTAAGCTCCAGCGACGGCGTGAACCGGTGTATCAAATGTTGCCGTACGGGAGGAACAAGAGGCGCTTTAGCGCATTTATTAGTTTTACAATATTCCTCATGTTCCGTTAGACTTTTCTCGGTAAAAAACATAAACACGATAAACATGTTTACATAAATATGTTGTGTGGCCATGTTTTGTTTTTTGCGAACAAACTAATCTTGATAGATTTTGAATCAAACAATAATGTTCATGATTTTCTCCACCGAGATAAAATATGTTAACATGTATTTTTTTTTTGAGTATCGCATATTTTTAGGGGTACTATAATAACATCATATTCATAAGTAAACACATCAATAGACATATTAGTCTAATAAATGTCTAGACCAAGTTTTATACGTTGTTGTTATATTGCATGTGTTACACAACTTTCTTAAAGTGGTTGCAATATTATTATTCTTTTCCATTTTATTATAGAATATATTTTTTTAACTATGGTTCCATTTTCAATTTCTTTTTTTTCAAATTCACATTTTTATAATTGATTTGTTCATATATTATATTATTTTCATTTAAAAATTCAATAAAATCATGTAATTTATTACGAATAAAAATAGAAAAATTGGTTAAATTTTAAAAGGAGCATATATATCAAAAGAATTAATTTTAGATTTAGCTTCTTGGATTTATTTNTTTTTTTCAAATTCATTTTTATAATTGATTTGTTCATATATTATATTATTTTCATTTAAAAATTCAATAAAATTATGTAATTTATTACGAATAAAAATAGAAAAATTGGTTAAATTTTAACAGGAGCTTATATATCAAAAGAATTAATTTTAGATTTAGCTTCTTGATTTTATTTATTTATTTTTTTCCAACATATAAGAAAAATAATACTCATATTTATATTAAAATATTTAAATTTCAAAATTTAGTTGTCTGTAATTCTTGACTATAGAAACTTCCATCAATAGTTTCATTATTTAAATCTTTAATTTTATAAGTAATTGGATTTGTATTCAATATTTCTGTAACAATAAANTACTTCTTTTTGAAAAAACAATACTCATATTTATATTAAAATATTTAAATTTCAAAATTTAGTTGTCTGTAATTCTTGACTATAGAAACTTCCTTCAATAGTTTCATTATTTAAATCTTTAATTTTATAAGTAATTGGATTTGTATTCAATACTTCTGTAACAATAAAAATTTCTTGTGTCCAATTAGAATTATATTTGTTATCAAACGTTTTTTTTTCAACTTCTTTATTTGAACCCTATCATTAATCTTAAATTT